CAAGGCTTTCACACTTAGGATCATACCAAAGTGGAATGAATATCGAATATGCGCTCTCAAAACCAACAAATTTTAGGAAACAAGAGCTAATACGCTAGCTTGAAGCATGAAAACAGCTTCATCCACAATATGTCTATGCGCCGTTGATTTAAAGTGTCGAATCTGTCTTTTACAGACCCCAAATACTGGTATTGTGTGGAAATGCGGCTTCAAGACCATCCCTTGTTGATTTTGCTAACAATATCACGAAAGGAACATCATTGATGATTTGCGGATATGTGGTTCCGGTACGTTGTTTTCTAGCTTTATTTTTTTGTTAAATATTGCTTGCCCCATTTTTTTCAATTCCAGTATAATCCGTCCGACCGGGTATATTCTGTGATGCGAAAGTTAGAGCGCCAGCTGACTGAATGGTTGCGCAAACGGCGGGTCAAGGCGTTTTACGTTTCTGTTGCAAATTCCAGCCTTCGAGCAGGATCTCAGTCCCTGTTGCAGGTAGTTTCACTTTGCTAATCTTCTCAAAATTATTCGTTCACTAGCGAATGATGGATATCCTGTTTACCATACCTTCCTTAAGGTTTGCGGTCTCGGTAAACTGCGCCCCAATATCATTCTAATCGGCTTCAAGACTAACTGGTACCGTGGAGGACCAACCCCGCACACAATGAGCGAGCTCAATGAATATTTTGGGACGATTCAGTAAATTTTTCCGGCTGTACTACATCCACTTAAAAATTTGATGCATCGGGAACGACGTTGATTTTTTGGATTCTTACTTCAGGGATGCATTCGATAGCAATATGGCAGTGTGCGTGCTCCGCAACGGCGAGATGGGACTCGATTTCAGCGAAGCCATGAGACTCTTGAACGTGGGTGAGCCTAAACGCCTGGATATCAACCTCGATGATAAAGAGATTGAGAAGGAAGGGTTCGTTTTTTTCACATAATGAAAATAAGCACATGTGAGCTCGAAATTTTCCTCACCTCAGCATTGTTCATAAGCGAAAATCTTCAAGGATGAACCATTTAAAAAAGTATTGTTGGTCAAACTTAGCGAGAGACGTTTCTGTTTTGCGCTTTTATAAGGTGTAGGGCAGATGGCTGGCTTCAAAAATAGGGGAGAGAATCTTCGAAAAGAGGATCGGCCTGTTCAGTTCATTGACATTTGCCGTAATTTTCCATTGCGTTTTGAAAAACATTCGCAAGTGGATAGGAATTGAAGGGCCTTGCTTCGAATGATCGTGAACGGACTATGAAATTATGTTCGTTAAATGGATTCAGTGCGTGCTTTCACTACCGATATCTAGTCTTCTCCCTTTTTTAGGCTGGGATCGCCTTCCCGTCCATCCGTAAACGATTCCGATCCGAAGGTAGCTCCTGAGCCAACAGATGGCAATGATGACGAAAAGGCTGAAACAGAATGTAAGCTTTGTTTATGGTGCTTCAGTTGCCGGCAAATTGTGTGATCATTTCGTTTTTTTTTTCGTTGTGAAGGTTCAGCTCGACTTATAATGACTTTTGAGAAATTTGAATATTCTGTTATAGATTTAAATGAGAATCTTAGGCCTCCAAAATCTTACGGCCTTTTTTCAACAATGTTGAAGATATTCAAAGGAATCACATGCCTGAGGGCTGATGGGGTGTTTCTCCTAGCCGTAGGGTCACCTATGGGATTTTTAACCATGAGTGTATTTTCCCACTGTTGCGGAGTATGATTACTGGATTGATTTCCTCTAGGATGCTGTGTTCATGAAGTGGTGGGCACCCCTAAAAGCAAAGGGCATTCATCAGTGCACGTCCATCATTCTTTGGAATGGTTAGCCAATCAAAATTCTGCGTAAGAGGCATTTGAATGACGCACACTGCTTCCGAGTGGCAGCTGTTATTCGACCCAGTAATTTGACGCCAGAAAAATTGACTCAGAAGACTGAAGACGTTATCTGAAGCAGGAGCTGTAGTTCTCACGTTGGAGGTGCAAAGCAGTGCTCCACCCGACCATTAAGTACATTCCATAAGTAGGTAACACTGTAGTTAACAATGAAAGTATTACAAATATGAAGTTATGGAATGAACTTCGAAAGCATTTGCAGTGGTAGTAATATGTGTTATGCGTCTCCATGCCACCATTTAACTACCAGCTTGGCTAATGCTTACGCGTGCGTCACCAGCGATGTGGCTCGCAGTCACTGTAATTTTTGGGCCTACCATAAATAGATATTAATTCGTTTGTCCGGGTTATCGCCTCAAAACTTACTTGGTGCTCCTTTCTGCTTTAGCTCCTAGCTCCTCGGTGCAAGCCTTCCATATCGATGATATTGACCAAACATTTTTCGAAGGTCTATATCCAATTTTTTGTTATCTTAATAGGATTCCTGGGAAATTATTGGTGACTTCCCTACTGCATATCACCCAAGCAAAAAGCACTTGGCCTACTATCGGCATAGTTTTAGCCGTTTCATGCATGTTTAGCACGTTGTGAGCATTGCTTGGTTCTTCTATTTTTTCGGACATATAAACTGTTTTGAAACTGGGTTTTATTTTTTTTGTAGTGAGAGCCTATCTTGAATAACCCCTGGAGTGGGAGATTCCTTTTTCTTTCGTCCTTCATCTGCTCCCTCTTACCCATTTTTCTTCATGTCTAGGTTATTAGAAATGAAATGGAAACACTCGCTCCCAGCACCGCCTTTTTAGTGCATGATCGACTCGACCTCTCCAGGTAGATCTTGGAGCAGTGTCAAATTTCGCGATTTTGGTGAAATACAAAGATTGATAGACATACAGTCCATGTCCGAGGGGTGGGGTAGACGTGCCACCGTTAATGACGTGGCGGCAGCTGCACTTGAGAAGGCTTGTGAATAACTGTTTCTAACATTTCCGCTGGATGTCATAAAGCATGCTGGCAACAACTTATCCACACAACTTCTATCAAGTCCACTTCACTTCCAAAAACATGCTTACCCCAACTTGCTATGGACTGTATATAGCGATTTATATCACGACTGTGAATTCAGAGAAAGGTTGATGTTGATTAAGTGAAAAAAATCTTCAGAAAAAGTTAAGATTGGTGTCTAAGTCGGACTGTGCTTTTACTCGATTCAAAATTGGCTATGTTTAGCTCTTCGACACAAGGACAGTGCACATAGTATGGAGCGTTTTGCTAATCTTAATCATCATTATATTGCTGGTAACTTGGGGTGTCGTACGGTCGCTGTGATGTGGTGGTGCTGATTTTTATCAAATTAGCTATTATTTTGTTTCATTGCAGCATCCAACACTTTGACGGAAAACTACGGATTCGACGACACGGAGGTGAGCTTTTGTAGATCCACACTTTGAGGTTGCGCTAGAGAGGACATCAGGAGATGACTAAGTTAACCATGAAGCAGTCATCTAGAACTGAGAAGTTTTCATTAGGGAAATTCTAGCTCCATGAAGATGTGCTTGCTGAAATAGTGGGTACTGACCATGAGGGAGCTTTTAACA